TGCTATAGCAAATGGACCACCATGTCCATGGTACCATACTTACTTCAAAAATAAAAAAACAGTTATTTAATTAAGGCCTCACCCATGTGATGAATCTTACATCGATTTAACATGAAAAAAATATTGATTGGAAACTTTGACATTCAAAATTTGAAGTCAAATTATCTAACTTTCAGCATTCAATACTTTCTCAAATTAATTCTTATTTATCGCCTTTTTGAAATTTTGAATATAGCGTTAACACTAAATTGCGTTTACACAAGTTTCCGTTTGAACAAAGAAAAAACAATTTGGTTATAGTTTAGTTAAATTTAGGATAAAAATGATCGTAGATTTATTTTGCAGGACGTTGTTAATAATAATACTGATGATACTGAAATTAGCATCACTACAAATAAATACATTAAAAAATCTACTGCTACAGAAAGGCCAACGTTATGTCCTTTTTGTTTTCATGATGTTGTTACTCACTTTCCGAGACATCTCTTCAGACATCACAAAGAACATAAAGATGTTCAATTACTACAGAGTCTAAAACCTGGCAGTTCAGAGCGTTTGTCTTTAGTTGCTCTTCTGCGTAAACAAGGCTATTTTCACCTAAACGTCGAAAAGAATATACTAAATCCAGTCCGATCTTCCAAAGACCGTAATGCTGATTACGCCATATGCTCATTCTGTTTAGGGCACTATTCGAAAAAACTTTTATATAAGCATGTAAAAACCTGCAAAAATAAACCAATTGATACCAAAAATGCCGGTAAAGGTTGTCTGTCAGTCTCAAACTTTTATGGCCAGCATATCTCCAAAAATCAAAATTTTTTGAGAACAGCTTGTATAAAGGAAGAAGTATTTAGTAAAATGAGAGCTGATAATATAAGCCAAGTAGCTAAAAATGATGCATTGATTTGCTGGTATGGTGAAAGCCTTCTGGTAAGGCATAAAAGACAGCAGATAGCGAATCTCATTTCCAATCAAGTCAGAGAAATGGGACGAATGCTCATTACTCTAAGAACAACGAATGAAAATGTTACTTCTTTCTTTGATGTGCTTAGACCAGAAATGTTTGGTAGCCTTTTATCTGCAGCTCGAATCATCAGTGGATATAACAAAAAAGAAAAAAGTTTTAGAGCACCTTCTTTAGCATTACATATGGGAACAAACTTAAAATTAATGTGCAATGTAGCATTTAAAATAGTTATTGAAAAACGAGTGCTCCCTGGAGTAACTTGGGATAACAGAGATAAAARKAAATGCGAGATCAAAGATTTAAAAAAATTAATTGAAAGCCACTGGTGTAACGAAATTTCATGCYTGGCATTAAAAACACTGAAGGARAGACAGTGGGAAAAAACTGGACAATTACCTTTAACAAGCGATATACTTTTGTTTCAAAATTACATTAATGACCTCGCTGACMAGGCATATRAAAATTTAAAAAACAAGTTAGATGTACAGAGTTATAAAGTTTTMACTGAGTGTGTACTTACTCAAAGTATTATCTTCAATAGAAAAAGGGTAGGAGATGTGCAGTTTCTTAAAATTAATTGTTATGCAAGAGAAAATCAGAG